TTCTTAATAGAAATTTGCTGCAAATTTGAATACTTCTACATCAGCAAATGGAAATTTATAAACAATACGGATGTGAAAATATCAGACAGCAGATATTCCAGCATAAAACCAGCTTTGTGAGTACTCTGAAGTGACTTTTTCAAAGTGGCCTTGAAAAGGAATTTTTCTTCTGAATTAATTAGCATTTTTGATAATTAAAGCAGAGCAAGTGTTGAAGGCATGAAGGTTCTGGTTCAAGATCTGTCAGATGAAAACCACTTTCATTTTACCTTTTCACAAGGTTATCTGGAGAGAATCAGAAATTGTATGGAAAAGACAGTGGGTTTTTTCTGTTCCTCTACGAGAAACATAAAGTTCTAAAAAAACTTTAAGTACTTTAGTTGTGAATGAAAAGTAGTGTGCATATACTATTAGGCCAAATAATTAATTTCACTTGCATCAGAGAATACATAATCTGCCAACTTGCTTTGTGTCCCATGTGGTAGACAATGAATATCTGATTTTTCAATAATTTCTGCCTGTTGGCACAGGGTTGAAAAACTTGCGTCAAGAAATAAGCAGAGATGGATTGCTGGGCAAATAATGTGTAGCTTCCTTCTCTTTCCTTCTCCCCCTCCTTTTTCCTTTTCAAGTACCCTACATGCTTCACTTATTATAGAATCATAGAACGTATTGGGCTGGGAGGGACCACTAAAGGTCATCTAGTCCAACCCCCCTACAATAAGCAGGGGCATCTCTAGCTAGGTCAGGTTGCTCAGAGCCACATCAAGCCTGACCTTGAATGTCTTCAGGGATGGGGCATCATAAAATTATGATTTTTTTTTACTTTCTTCCATAACAAAATCCTAAGTACTGGCTGTACTTTTTTATTGCCTTCTATTTGTGTGGTTCAGTGTTTGCATGAATGTAAAATCCTGTAGTAAAACTCAGCAAGCTGTTGTGTTTTGGTTTTGCTTATAGCTCTCGACTGGGAGACAGTGAAGACCTCCCAGATATCCGTGTAGATGCTGCATCTCCTGGGCCAAGAGTAACTTTCAACATACAAGATTCTGTAAGAATTACTTTATATGCCATAAGTTATATATTTAAGAATTACTTTATATGTCATATAATTACATTTTCTGTACCATTTGGTCAGAAGTTCATGAGATAAGTATACCTAGGCAGACCTGAATTGCCTGTATGTTTTTCTCTGTGTATTTCTGTTGATGTGTGTCTCAAATTATGGATGTGTTTTTAGAAGATAGATTTGTTTTGATAGAAGACAGTTATGTTTTGGTTTCTTAACACAGAAATTAATTGAATCTTTAGAGAAAATACTTGAAAATGTTTGGGGTTTTTTGTTTGTTTGTTTTTAGTCTGACACAGTAGTAATACAATTGTTTTGGAATTTTTATCAGAAGTGTGCAAAAAAAATCATCTAGTATTTCTTGTGTTTGAATATATTTAGAGTTTTGGAAATGGGTATTAGTCTGTTTGCTGTAGCCCTGCAGGTGTATCATTCTGTGTGTTTGAAATGGATGTTGAGTCTTTGGTTTTGTTTGTTGCTATGTTTTCTCATTTTTAAAATGTTCCAATTATGTTGTTTTTGCATGGCTGAGAGTGTAATTGTTTTAATTTATCTATTTTTTTTCGCTTTTAATTAAGTTGAATAAAACAGCTTTGGGGATTGCACAACAATCCAGCTGTCCAGGGGAAGGGTATTTTCAGGTATTTCTGAGAAGAAACAAATATTCTTTGCCAGAGAACTAATTTATCTCCCAGGGAGCTGCTTTTCAATGTTTCATCTCTTTTGCACTCAGCTAAACAGAATGTATATCAAAATTCAAAATATTTAAATTTAAATATGTAAAGTAAGCAGAAGAACATGATTGATTGTTGACAAACTTCCTGGAGTGTTTCTACACCCTTACGTAGACATAAACTTGCTAGTTTTTGTAAAATGAATTATTGGGGTTTTATTTGTATATTTATGAAGACTGATCAAGGCTGATGTAAAGTGGTGTAAGTCCAGCCTTGACATGTGCTTTAGAAGAGGATTTTAGTTGTGTGCCTTCATTTGTTACGTTGTGTTCCAAGATTGCAGGCGACAACAAACATTACAAAATAATTGCTAGCTGGGAGGACATCTTCTCACACTTTTATTGCTGTTGG